TAAGTAATAATAAAATGCCAATACTGCAACACGTCTAAGAGGAATACAGCTTTAAGCATGGAAAACCTGTGGTTGGAATCAATTTCTGGCAATGTCTTGTACTCTGCATCAGTTACAGAGAGAATTTAGCCTCTGAGTTAAAGTTGTAAGAACTATTCATCAGATGTCTAAATTAATTGACATAGATGGTATAATTTCAGCCTTGCTCACCATGTTATTTCATGGATAACAAACACATTTCTATTACGAGTGAAATATTCTATTGCTTTACAGACTGCAGAATATAGTAATTTAATTCAAGGCAAATACACTACAAAATTATTAATTTGCTTTAAAAACTAAATATGCAACTTCATAAATATGCTATCATTGATTAAGTTTGCTCTCAGACTCTGTAGATGACCAGACTGCACAGAAGATGGTTTATCTCTGTTAGTGTGATAGATGCTAGACAGAAACTTAAAAAAATATTAAAAATCAGGAAAACCCAAATTTGGCATGATAAATGTCTCCAATATTCAGAAATACTCAAAGTTAGCATCATAAATCTCTTCAACATTACCTTTCTTCTACCATAGCCTCTGCTTAATATAGTAATTTCAATTTCTTTAGGTATTTACAACAAAACAAGGCCACAGAAATGATGAGCAAGAAAATTGCCATTTTATACTCCAGTATTCTAGTACCACAACCTAATGAAAAAATTAAAGCAAAGCAGTGCTATAAAACAGAGAATACATCAGAAGGAAACCAGTGGATGTGTTTAAGGTGAGGAGAATAAAGATTTCAGAAGACTACAATGTAAACTCTTTTGTTAGTCCTAGCAGTGGTTGCACAAATTTTCAGTATATCTGAAAAAAAAAAAGATGATGAATGAAGATTAAAGTACTCCTGCACAGTGATATGCATCTTCAACAACATTCTTTTGACATGTATTCACAGCCAGAGCCAAGTGCCCAATTTGAGGATTTGCAGTGAGCTTTCTAAATGATATCTGTATACTATTCATTTGATCATTTGTAAGAACTGAAATCCATGCACCTTTAAGGAAAGGAAAGTGAGAAACCAAAGTAAGTGAAAATAGGCTTAAAAGACAACTGACCTTTTTCCACTTCATTCAGATTAGCAGCTTGCAGTGACAAAGACAGAAGAGACAAGAGACTTTTTACATTGTAATACAACAGCATAGCACATTAAGCTAATGCACAACTATAGCAGCAGAGAGGTTGATATAGCAAAATGAAGCAAGCTTCAGAGTCTCACCTACAGCAGAGCAAAACAAACAGAAAGGTAAGAAGTACATGCCAGCAGTGGCATAAGAAAGGTTTTACTTCTGAATCAGTTAGGTCTGTGATCTAATGACTTATGACAATGAGCAAGAGAAATGATCATCTGTAATCTATAGAATGTACATAAAATGACCTGAGGTTTATTAGACTGAGGTTAAAATAACAGATGGTAATGTTAAGAGAATAGTAAGGTTAAAGAGTGCAGGACATAGTGAGGTATTTTCAATGTTTTATTTCTCAAGTTTTCATCAGACACCCTGAGTGTCTGATGATTCCTTGTGCTTACTGTTGTTTCAGTTACAGTCTGTGATGTTAAGAAAGCTCATAGTAAAATGCAAATGCCATTCTTTGTCTTTCCACCTGTAACTGTGGAGATAGCTGTAAAACTTAACTGAGGCAGAGCAAAATGGATTCTTAGGCAACAACATAACCAGCTTTTTTAATTGCTTGTTTTTTAGATCAACACTGCATACTTGAGAAGTGTCAATTTTCAAGGGATTGTTAGAAAAGTCAAAAAGTGCCTGTTAGGTTTTGCACTGCAATATTCTTTACAGTTAATTTGAGATTCTAACAAGCCTTCCACATGAAAAATATATAGAAGAATGATTTACATTTCATACCAGCAGGTTTCAGCTGACTTCTTCCTTACACTGTGCTACTGAAATGTAAAAGCATATTTGCAGATAACCATTCACCCAGAAAAATATTCTGGGCTGGTGCACTTCCATATTGAGTACATATATGCTATGACATCTTGAACACAGACAATTCAAAGTATTGTCAACAGAATTAAAAGAGAACAGGACAAGCCTACAGTGCTATTTTACTGTGCTGGTCACCAGGAACTTACAGCTCAGGGACTTTCTGAGCTAGAGATAAGTATCTTGGAATTAAAAAATCTTTTGATATACTGAATATATAGCCTATTTTTCTGATTTTTAACCTACTTTTGCCCAACTAGTACATGAATTAGTTTAGTAAAAAAACCCTTTCCTAAAAAAAGTCATTAGAAATATGCATATCTGATTTTAACCTGTTCGAACAGATACCAAAATCCAAACGTTTACAAAGTTCCTTATGAGAATCACTCTATACAAACTGGACAGAGATTCTGTTACTTACCTTTCAACTCAAGCTGTAGGCCAGAGAACAAAAAATCTTGTAAATATTTTGGTACCTCATACACACTTGAGGCAACTGTATGATTACTCATATTCTGAACACTACCCATTCTAGATTTTGATGTGTCCAGAATACTGTCAGACTAACTCTTAGCACTGAAGGTTGTTTATTATGCAAGATCAAGGATGACAGACATAAGGATGCCTTGACTAACTCAATATTTTATATTTTCTCCTTATAACTTCATAAGATAGTATATTGTAGAATTCTGTACTGTATTCTATGCAATGAAAAACCTGAACCTTTGCTACAATGTTTGCCCAAATTATCTATAAAGTGACTTGAGGCTCCAGTGATGTATTTTTTAAAAAATGTCTTTTTTTTTTTTCCTGGTAAAGTGTTGAAAAACATATGATGAGACAGTGTAGACTGTCAACAGTTTTTAACAAACAGAATGGCTAAACTTACTGATTACAGCTAAGATTGTTTTATTTTAGAGTTGGTGAGAAGATTCTCACCTACTCACGTGTACTACTAACTTCAGTGGCATTTATGAGTAGGCATTGCATCTGTAAAAGCAAATTTCCTTTTCTGAAAGAATTACAGTTAGAAAACAAAAACATTTGCCATGTAAACTCACAGTATTACTCTGATAGAATTGTGCAGTTACGAAACAAATTTAAAAATACACTTTCCTGTAATTTGACTAAAGAAGCACTACTGCAACAGAAACATAAAAAATGTTATCAATGTGTATTCTCTCCTTTTTTGCTTTAATCACAGAGAAACAATTCAAATTTTGTTTCAATTGTAAATTTCAAATTTACATTTCAATTGCAATACTCCAGAAATGCAACAGGCACACATTATAAATGTTTTAGGCTAGCACATGTAAACAATCCTTTATATCCACTCCATGGATATTTAATAAAAAGCAGTCTTTCTCATGGCATACTGAGAATTCAGCAAGCTATTGACTCCAGCAGTTAAATGCACCCAGAGCAATGTTGAAAGTGAAGGACATGGGTCAAAACACCTGCCAAACTGCAGAGGAGGAATGAACTTCAAATAAATATCTCCTATCTAATAGATATATAAAACCTATTAGCATGAAGCCACTGAACAGGAACACTAGATTGATGCAACTTTGCTTTGCATTCTTCCAATCTACACACAAGAATATCTGATCCCATTTTTAAAGGAGATAGCAATTGATCCTAGGGGAGCTGAAGCTTCACTTACATATACCTGAAATATTAGTTGTACCAGAAACAGCAAACACCTCTCTATACTTATTGATGCTGTTACCTGTTATTTCTTCCCTAGGCTTGAATTCTAAATTGCTCTTTGGTATTAATGTATCAGTACTTGGCAAAACAGTATTTTGTCTTAGCAGAAGATTATGTCTGTCCTTCCAGAGAGAGAACATGAGCTTATTATCAAATACCTTTTTGGCTAATTACACATTTAACCTGTATTGCTCTAGGTATTGTAGTTTATTCTGTCTGGGAAAATTTCTACCAAATATTTACCCAGTGTAAGTGCTGGATGAACACACACAGTAGATTAGGAAGTTGAATTTCTCATACTTGTGCTCAGTCATCTTCACTCACTGTGTGTTCCCAAGATTTAAATACTGATTTTAAATTTGAATAACTAAAACATTTGAGCAATCCAACAGTTTGTAGAACTAATGATGGAAACACCTTGGGTGAAAAAGGAATTAGCTGTGTTTTCAATAGATAAAATCAATTCAGGAGTTCACCACCTCTCCTCACAGCTTTCCAGAGGTCAAATTTGTTTGAAGTAAAAATATAGGATGACTGAGTAGAGTTAATTCCCAAGTTGTGGTGGATCTTACTTTTTTAAAAATGCATTTCAAATAATGTTTTTGTGAATTTAAGCTCTATGTTCTTGTAGTGGTCAGCTAGCTGACAGAAAATAGATCTGTCTAGTTAGAAAAACTGTAAACCAGATCTATATAAACTATAGATCCTACTTCCCTTGTGCTGCTGTTCTAACTATCCTCCATTCCCACAGAGACGACGGCAGCATCCTCTGTCTCAAAGAGAAGGGAATTCTTTGGTTTGGCTGCCAACAGATAGAAACAAATAATTCAACACTTGTCCTTTTTTTTTCCTTGCAGTAAACATCCAGCTCTGCATTAATGTTTCTAATGAAGGGCAGGAGAGCATCCAGGGGTGCCAAATACAGTTCCCCACTGGCACAGACAAATCCTTTTCTACCCTGTTAGTAAGATGAGGATTACATGATAAAGCAGGATATTTTTCAGATTTGTACAGCTGCAGAGGTCATTCACTGGGGTGTTTGGGCTAGGCAAACAGGAGGGAGAGGCACATTTTGAATGATGTTTCAAATATAAAAATGCTGTAATTTCAAAACTAACAAAGGAATTCATGAGTGGACATTAAGTCTGCTTTTGACTACAAACCATACAGGAGAAAAATATGGAGGGAAATCTGGCTTTAAGTCAGTTGTAGAGCAACTCCTAATTCACCTGCAAAGTGGAAAATATTACTATTCTGCTAGGAATTCTTGAATTACCTGTACTTTCTCTTATACTCCTACCTGTATATTCAGGTGGACAAAGGCAAGTATAGTTATTAATTCCATCCACACAAGTAGAATTATTTTCACAGTCATTGTCTTCACAGTCATCAACATTTACTTCACAGTTTTCACCTTCAAATCCATCTGCACAAGTGCACCTGTAATACAGAAAAAAAATCCCCAAAACCACATGGACATTTTAGCTGGGGAGTCCAGACAAGGAGTTCTGTAATTACTAGGTACGATAATTGCTAATCACTATTCAGTAACAGAACATGGCTGATATAATGTAAAAAACCACATACAATAAATGTCACCAAAGTATTTTTTTTATATTTTTAAATTACAGAATAAAGGCTTCAAAATTTGTAGCTTAATCTTTAGTCTAAGGAGCTTCTTAAATTAAATAATGGAACATTAAAGCAGCTCCATTTACATTTAAGATTAGGTTTCTTATGGAAAGTGATCCTTTCAGTTTTTTCAATCTTAAACACGAGGAAAAGACTGTGGAATCAGGGATTAATATGTAACAGTAGTATTCTACTATTTTTCAGTTAAATGCACCAATATAAAGCTTTTTAACATTCCATGCACAATACATGCATTAATGTAAAAAAACAAAGCCTGTATTAACCCTTCAAAGCAGTCATTTATTTTTTGCTTTTAAGTATGTTTCTGCAAAACAAATACATCAAAATAGATAGTAAATGTAAAAGTCACTCAAACATGACGAAACATACATTTTCATGTAATCTGCTCTATCTATAATTTCTGCAGTTTTCATTATGAGATTGCTTTGCTTTTCAAAATGTGCAGTGTTTAAACAAATAAATGAAGAAGGTCAAATTCTGAGGCATGACTACGTCAATTTAAATTCTCGAGGCATAGTATTAAGATGTATACACTTAATTTTTAGTAGAAAGCTATTTACTCTTTGGGCAGAATTTGGATTAAAAAAAATAAGAATAATGTCATAATGAATTGCAGGATAATGAATTGTATCTTTTTGAAGTGTCGTTTCTAACAAGCTCGAGGTGTAGATTATTAAATGACTAATAATTTCACATAAGAATGCTAAAGAACTTTATTTCATAATTCATGAAGTACATCTGGAGTAATTGTACTGTGTGATTAAATAACTCAAGATTAAAAATGCTCACAGCATGTTTATCTGCTGGCATAGTGAGTTTCAAATGAATCATTAATTTTCTGTTTCATTGGGATTTACATTTTATCATTTACATGCTGTCTGTTGAAGTAATACACATAACAACAGATGAATTGTGAGATTTTTTTTCAGCAGGGATCTAGCTAGCTATTAATTAGCATAATGGAGTCAATACTGTGTTGTCTTGACCTGATATGCCTCAACTAATCACGATCATTTGTTATTGTTTTTAACAGATTCAAAGCTTTAGAAGCTTTCCAAGGATGGCAACACGTTCTGAAAACTTCAGAAGCCCTGAAAAATCTGCCTTTTTGCTGCACTTACCAACAAACACAGAGAACCCAAAGATGAACATCAAAATTATTTCAGCATGTAAAATTCAGTAGTTTTCCATCCTGTTATTACAATTAAAGAACCTACCAGAAACCATCTTTTTCTCCTTCTTTCAAATGACAAGTTCCTCCATGGTGGCATGGGTTACTAATGCAAGCATGAATGGGAATGTCACAGTCTTGACCCTATGCAGGGAACAACAGTTATAATGTAAGAAGGAAATACAGACACTAGTGAAATGGAAACAAAGAAAACTTAGAGGTTGCTAAGGAGAAGCTTACATTTCAGTGAGCTTTTCCCTCTTCATTCTGTACCTACCTTGAAACCATATGGGCATGTACATCTATAGAAGTCAACTGGATCATTGTTGCAGGTTCCATCATTTTTACATGGATTTGATAAACAGGGGTTACACTTGGCAAGAATATTAACATCCACAGGCCCTTAAAAATACAAATTGGATAGTCAGAAACAACTATTAATTTATATTTGACAGGATCCCTCTGCCATGTTGCTTTAAATTTTAAAATGGACTTTATATTTTAGACTTTGTGGTGTTTCTATATGAATAAAATGCTGGATTTGCCTTAATGCTTTTGATGTGACCAAATGATTTTGGAATTGGATATTTTGTTGAAGTATCACTTTTTGGTTTTTTTAAAAGAAGCTGACACCAAAGTGATTCTGATATCCCTATTCTCTGAAATCTGTACAGTTCTGATCCATGATAACTACCTTCCCTTTGTATTAAGAAACTGAAGAATAGAATTTCAGCTTTTGTTTTGTTAGCGGGTAGAAACTGCCTATGAGAAAGTGGGCTATCACTGTAAACTGTAATTTAAATTGTATTGTCCAAGCTATCTCACCAAAAATAGCTCTATACTGTGTCCTTCTCCCTTATGAGTCAGCCACAGTTCTGTGAATTAGTGCATTAGTTGAACCCACAAATTATACAGACTGTACCACAGAACCATGTGCAAATAAGGACCACAATCCATGCTTGCAGTCATTTCTTATATAAATGATTGCAATGACAGAATTCAGAAATGAATAATGACAAAATGTGAAGTTTCAGAAGCCAGACTTAGATATTTATCCTACACAAATCTCATCCCTGTTACATAAATATTTTTTAGCTACTCATTTATTTTGCTGTTGTTTTACAATTTTACAGCCATTTCAGGGTGAATTTTCGAGTTAGGAACCTTGTATTTTTATTTCTTTTTGTCATGCCACCGAAGAAATCACTGGTTATTTGTTAAAAATTAGAAAACACCCATGGATAAATAATGATTTGTTTTCATAAATTTTGTGAAGAAGTTTGATTACTGTAAGAGAAAATGGATGACTTTGCCAAATGCCTATTAAGACAACGAACATAGATTCTGCATCTCCAGCTGTACTGTCTGATGACAGTAGAGCTTGATTTCAGATTTCCCCTATGAAAAAATCCCTTCAGTTATTCACATGTGAACTGTACATTTTAAGGAATAACCAGAGATTTCTTCTAACTAGACAAAATCCCCCAACTCCTAGGACCCACTGATTGCTCCTCAGCAGGTCTTACACAAAATGAGCCAAATTGCAGTTTTCCAAACTAAAAGGGCTTTGTTGAGATATGGGGCTTTATTCTATTTTTAAACTTAGATTTCTTAACTTTCTCATTTTTGTTTGCAAAATTAATCTCGGCTAAGTCATTGTAAAGGAGCTGGCATGGAAGGAAGCCATGTGATTAGAAGGATTCAGTGGGGGGTGTTAGACAAGGAGTGGGTGATTTGTTTTAATTTTTTTTTTTTTTAATCTGCAGTTGCTGGTATCCTTCTGTGTCACAGCTTGCAAGCAGAACATGGTAATCTGTGATAAGGTGCTTATTGCCAAAGCTGCAATCTGTATGAATCATTGACTATTCTTGTCTTCATTACCTTATTTTGAGAGAGAAATCTATACCTGCTTAAAGTATCTGTTAGACCAGCACACAGCAGAGGTAGAAAAGTTGAAACAAACATCATAGAATTAACATCTAGAAAGTCTTGACTGTACTCTAGACTATTGCTGCTTATTGCTGCAGTATAAGTGATCTTGTGGAAAAAAAATAATTCCAAGAGGCACATACTTAAGAATTTGTAACACCACACTGTAGCCTGTGAGTCTCTCATTCCTTCTGTTTATTCTGAACATCATACTCTCTTTTCTACTTTCCATGTAATAAAATGCTAATCAGTTGGCATGAATTTAAAAAAACCCCAGTAACTAAAGTCTTTTCCCCAAACAGATTAGCAATCTGAATTTCACTTCCAAAACAGAGACAGAAAATGGGAATCTAAGTCTCAACAAGATAGTAAATAAGACTATCTGATTTCATACTGTGTTATTTCAAACTATTATATGTAGTATCTGACAAAAACTAACATTTTGATTTCTCATTCTTTGGTTTTAAGATCAAAAAATGGAAGGGAAGTTCTGGAACCTATTTCCATTTTCACTAACCATTCCTTTCCTATTTCTGCCTGCATGTGTTAGAAGACTTGTATATGAAAAAGAATTTGGTTAATAACCTATTGTTTAGTTTTTCATATTGTAGGCATATATGTTCTTAAATAAGCCCTAACTGGAAAAGAAAAAAGATTAAAAAAATATATATTCTTTTGCAAACAGTGAAAAACTACCAGCATTTCATTGACATAGACACATACATGTAGCCATCTAAGTATTTTGCAGAAAAACCATGACACAAATACTCTCAAACCAACTTCTAGAGAACTTGTTGCAAGAAAAACTTTGAGCTCTGACATTTTATGACTCCTCTCTTGCATATGGCCTCAAAATCAGTATTTACACTGCTAATGAAAACACCAATTTTAGTACAATGCAGTGGAAATTATGACTTCAGTTGGATAATTTTCAGATCTCAATCTCAGTTTTTTGAAATAACAGAACTATTCATACAATATGCTAAATGATATGTCATGAATAGTCAGCTGTAAAATCATCACAGGGGAAAACAAACAGTAAACATGCATGTCTTAGGAAAGAAGTCTGCTCAAGGTACACAAGAGGAAGGTCAGAAGGTCCATTCTTAATCAGATCATCCATTCCAGATCTACTTATAACCTTACCTGGTATCAGAAAACCACAAGGCCCTGGAATCTCTAGAAGCAGGGCATGGATGATAAAGAAGTAAAAGTAAAAAATTGAGAAGCTGTTAGAGGCCACATTTAAAAAAAAAAAAAAAAGAAAAATCCACCCATAAATGTAGAAAACTAACTGAAAAAAAGAAAGTGCTAAGGGATGATTCTTAGAGTAAAAGAATTCATAAAATTAAGAGTAAGGTACAGTGATTTTATGGAGCTTTACAACTGAGATGAGGCTTCATTTTAAAATGTTCATTTTCACTGGGAACTACTCTTATGTAGGTAAAATTCAAGCACCCGTTTCACTCTCAATTGAACCCTTAGACACTGATAAGAAGGAATTACACATTACTTTTTTCTTGCAAATAAATACACAATAGCAGACCATCAACAGACATTCTGAAAGCAGCCCTCTCACTCATAGCCTAAATTTGTGCTTCTAATAGGAATATAGCATCTTCTTAATTTCTATCATTCAGCAGTTCATTTTTAAGCAAAAGATAAAATTACTTATCTTTGAGTAACAGACATATAATGTCTTACAGGGCCATCAAGTCATTGAAAAGCTGCTGATTTGCAATCTATAATTATGAGCATCTTCATCGTTCAGTAGCAGTAAAATTATTTCCTCTCAAAGGTATCCATAATATCAAATCTCCACACTTGGAAGTGAAACAAATATAGTTTTTACCCTCCATATAATATAAAGGATACTTTCTGATGGGCAAGAGGGAGTAAGGTATATTTTCTGGATTGTCTGACAGAAACATAACAATGGGTATAGGCAGGAATGATACAGTTTTAAAAACTGACAGAGCTGGAAAATAACCAAACAGGCCCTTCATGTCCATAGAAATATTCTTTCACTTGTATCCCTAGGACAATGTGCAATAGGAGCATATCTGCAATAATGTTCAGTGAATACTTGTAAACAAAACAATCAGATTGTCCAGCAAACGTCCTACCTAAAAACAGACTAAGAGCTTTGCAACAGATGAGTGTCACATGCAGTGAACACTGGCATGACCTCAGAGATGTACTGCTGAAAAATTGCAAGAAGGATTTGGAGGGAGAGAAAATTCATTGGCTTCAGAAGTAATAAGATGGGTTCTACTGGATTTTGTTTAGGGGAAAAAAGAAAGTCTTTTTGACAGAAAGCCTAAAGAGAGAAGACTAACTAGGATGAACATGCAGTAAAGAACAACTTTGGATGAGAAAAAGTGCTAGCAACTGACAAAATCCATTGCTTTTTAAAGGACAAAATTGCAGAGGGTCTAGGCTCACCTTTGAAGATATGTTAAGAGATGATTGAGTCAAAATAGCTTGAAGAGACTAAGTTACTTCTACAAGACTTAAGATCACATTCATCTGATGCCTCAGAAATAACTATGAGCTTAGTAGTGGCTTACAAGTCTAAGCACACTTTCTTTTTTCAACTGGGGTTTCAAGAAGAGAGAAATGGATGCAATAGAGGAAGACTAAACAGTAAACCAAACCAAGTTTCACTCCATGTGAGTTAAAAGGTACTTTTCTAAAAAGTACTAGTACAGTTCAGAAAAAGAGAAGAACCTAGGAATTATCAGGCAATAATATAAGTTGTGATAGAAATGCCCATAAAACAACATTTTAGAAGGAGACCTCTATAGAGCTTATCAAATGCCTTTATTGACCTTTTGCTTGTTGCCTTTGGTTTATTTGCTTTAATGCTTTGTTCTGAAATATCAGAGGAAGCATTCTGGACATATTGATGCATTTAATTGCAGACTGCAGGGATTATGGATACATCTACAGTTTTTACTGTAAACAGTTTGAAGAAAAAGGCCATTCCTTGGCTAAGGGAAGTCTAGATATTTAAACTGTAGTTCATGACTGAGACAGTACAAAATACCTATGTATATCCATACACTGAGGAATATTGTACTGCAAGTGCAAAGACATTTTTATTCATCTATTATAAAAGAGATAGGCATTGAAATCTTTAAAATAAATACAATTCCTGAATGGAACCAATGGCTACATCCCTATGAATGAGGAGCAGTGATGACAAAGCTGAGTGAAGATGCTATAATAAATGTATTTAGAGCACACAAGACTCAATTCACAGATCTACTATTTGTAAAAATTCAGAATTGACTCTTCAAAGAGAAAAAGTAACAACAGTACCTTGGCAAGTAAATTTTTTAGAAGGAGTTGTGAGAAGAAGTTTATCTGCCATTTCTCCAGGACCAGCACAACGTGCAATACCAGGTTCTTTGTATTCTGATTTTACCCAGTCAGACAGCCACTGCATGTTACAATCACAATAAAGAGGATTTGCTCCAATAGCCCTGTGGAAAACAAACAAATAGAAAAGGAAATAAAGATTTAAATTGGTTGCTTTTTAAAAGAGTAGCCAGAAAACAGACTGGCAAAACCCCTTCAAACCACAAACCTGCTCTCCCATCAGCAAATTGACAGTAAAAGCATGAAGTGTCTGGATTTGGGGTCTAAATCAAGAAGTGACAGTTTTAGCAGTAAACTTGGTCCAGAATGCTAGCTATTCTTGGTGCATTATGTGTGAACTTTGGTGAGCTAATACTGACTAGCAGTATTCATTCATATAGTAGAATGAAATTGATACTGGGAAATTAAGTTAACCAGAATAAAGTATTTCTTCTGAAGCAGCCAAGGCAACCCCACAGAGTTCCACATTGATATTCTCCCTGTTCAATTTATGTCTCCCAGACTGGTACAAACCATCTGTTTCTAAGCTTCCAAATTTCATTTGGAATTATTTCCTCTTTGGAGCTCTCCCACCCAACTCACAACTATGTGCAGAGTTCTGTAAGAGGTCTCTGCTTTATAAGTAAATAAAATTCCATTATTCTAGCTTTGTGGGAGTTCCATAAGAATTGCCTCATTATGAAAGCAAATCCATTTCTTTAAATGATGATCTTTCTGATTTTTTTTTAATTAAAAAATGATTTAGCTAGAGATTTCCAGAATTAATTTCTGTAAAGGTTTTTCGAGTGCTTATTTTGATTTTTTTTTAATTAAAAAATAATTTAGCTAGAGATTTTCAGAATTAAGTTCTGTAAAGGTTTTTCGAGTGCTTATTTTCTCTGCTAGAAACTATAAATACTCTTAAAACTCTGAGAACAATGATACATTGTGTAGTTAATTCAGAGGATAGAAGCATTGTTCTGTTCTATAAAGATTTACCCATGTTCCTTTTAAGAAATACAATAATCATAGAACTTTCAACAGATAATCTTGACATGTGCAAACATTGTCAAATGGCAATATTAGAACATCTTCCTTCTCCAGATGTTTCAGTACTTTTTTTTGGGATTGTTCTACAGCTTTGAATCAGTGGATCTTCTAGAGATACAAGAAAGTCTTTGGCAAGCAAAGGCAGTAAAAACTATGTCTGCTGAAACACTCTTTTCTGCCTTATTGAGCAGGAAGCCCTCACATAATTATTGCTACATTCCAGCTGAACTCAAAAAAATACATATATTTGTTCAGTCAAGCTTAAGTCAGAGCAGTAACAAAACTCAAACTTAGTGACAAGGAACTTCCCATGCGAGGAGAAACACCTACAATTTGTCCACTCTATGTTTACAAGAGTAAATGGCAGCCTGACCTGAGGTAACACAACTGCTCTGGCAAAATCAGTGTTAGCAAGGATAACCAGTAGACATTAAGAAAAAAACACCAGCAACAACAATTGAATCTATGTAAGTTTTACTGGTATTTCATGCAGATAAGCTAGTTTAATAGTAGCATTTGAATGAGTGATCAATGACTGAAAGCTTAATCGGTATGAAATTTCTGAGAAATGGCAAATTAAAGGTAAATGTCCAATACTGAACTTGAAAGAGGCAATTTTTTTAACAACTGCAGCTGTTCAGAAACTTTAAAAACCCCAGATATCTCTAAAGGCACTAGTCAACTTACTCATCAAAGATTTAATAACTATCCATAAACACAGCAAGGTTTGCAAAAGGCAACTTGTTCTAATTTAGGTTCCCATTGAAAATTAAAACCAGGAAAAGTATTGCACAAAATTGTGTTCTGAATTCAGACATCATGTGTTTAATGTCAGCTTAACAGACAGTGACATGGAATCACAGGATAATTTAAGGCCCTCTGGAGGTCATCCAGTCTCACCTGCACAAAGCAGGGCTCCCTTCATAGCTGGTTGCTCAGGGCTGTATCCGGCTGAGCTCTGAAAATCTCCAGGAATGGAGATTCTCCTGCTTTTTTGGGCAACCTGTTCCAAGGCTGAACCACCCCCAGACTGAAGAATTTTTCGTTCTGTTCAATCAAATTTCCCTTGTTGCAGGCTGTGATGGTTTACTATTATTTTTCACTGTGCACCTCTGAGAAAAAAACTGTCTCCATCACTGCTGTAATCCTGAGAGGCTGAAAGACTGTTAGGTCACTCTTTGGCATCCTCTTCTCCAGGCTAGATAAGCCCAGTTCCTGTAGCCTCTCCCCAGAATGTGTATGATGTGGCCTTCACCCACCCTGCTGCCCCTATACTGGATTTGCTCTGGTTCACATCCACCTGCTGTGTACTGGAGAAACTGAACAAGAATTCCATATGTGGCCTTAGGAGGGCCAAGCAGAAGGGAGTGATCAGTATCCTCAATCACCTGGCTGCTCACTTTCTAATTCAGCCCAGAGTGCTTCAGCCTTCATTGCCATAAGGACACACAGCAGACATGTTCAATTTGCAGCCCAGCAGCAGGTCCAGGATTTTTCTGCTGAGCTGCCTCTACCTCTCTGGCCAGTCCCCAGCCTCTGTTACAGATACATGTGCTTCTTCCAGAACTGTCCTTTGCATCCTGTCTTTGCTTGACTATATGGAAATTGCTAAGCATAACTCATAAAATACAGTTACCATCTGAATACTCACAGGTGTGATAATGCTGAGAGATCATTAAAGGCTCCTTCAGGAACAACAGAAATATCATTGCCATGTAAAGACCTTAAAAAGAAAATAAACACGACAATATATATACATAAAAATCAGCATCAACTTGGCAAATTTCATCTTCTCTAAACAGTTTTCAGCTTTTCACAATTTTTTTCTTCCAGTTCCTCAGTGTTTCCAGCTGTTTGTTGCTTGCTTTTTTTTTTGGTTTTTTTTTTTTTAAGCTCTAACTGGATGCCTACTTGAAATTTGATTTTTTTTCACCCTTTTCATAAGAAATGTAAATACTGTGATTATTTTAAAATTGAAAAATAAAAGCTGATAAATTAGGCAGACTTTTGCAAAGTCCTGACAGGATTTAGAGATAGCAGAAGAGTTATTATTTCTGACTTTTTCAGCAATTCCCTGAATCCCCATTAATTATGTTTATATGTTCTTTTTAATCTTTCATGGATTTGTGCAACATACAGACATTGACTGTTCATTAATATAAGTATTAAGGCTGTTGTCCTAATTTGATAGCAGAGTTAGTGAATGAAAGACTTTATTAATCATCAATATTGGGAAAAGTGTTATCTTTATTATAGCAAACCTGCACAAAAATCTCTCTGCTTCTCATTCAGCTACATGAATATCTAATACATATAGAATTATTGTTCTTGAAATTATCCATATTTATATTAAATAACTGAAGTTATGTGAGCATACTAAAATAATACCATGCTTCAGACATTTAATCCAACTAAGCTTTTAAATGGTTATAAATTACCCAAATGGGAGCAAAAATTACATGTTCTGCTGGGGACTTTTGAGAAAGAATTTTTGCAGGCTTTTTTCTTAATGAAAAACTGAAGCTGTAAGTCAGATTGACTGTTCTTTATTTTGCTTTTGTCCCTTTTTGTGTCCTTTCAACCACAGTTTTCTTAGTGGTAAAAGTTTTCTTGGAACCAAAAAGTCATGTTATTGATTTTCAGTAGTTAACCATGATGCAATGGTTTTGGAAACACTCCACATTAAATTAAACAAGACAGAAAGAAATTTACCAGCAGAATAAAAATATTCAAAATTTAACTGCAAAACCCCCTCATATATACTAAAGGAATTTATGCATATGGTGCTTTTGTTAGGCTTTAATGCTTAAAACAAGGAAGAACATACCAAAAAAAATATAGCCAAGATTAAAAAGCAGAAAAATAAAGAGTGTATGTCTGCATATATAATGTTCTCCAGGGTCATATAACTTCTTGTGCAGCATTTTGAGATTATACTTCCCCAGAATGAAGCCACTTAGAGTTTCAAGGCTATGTAATTTTCACTTCTCAAATGTTTGATAGCTTTTAAAATTCACTAACTTTGTACAGCTCTGCTATTGGCTATGCACAAATACAAATTCTGGAAAATGGCAATGATGATAAAATAATACTTACAGCAACCTAAGTGATTTTAATCCATCAAAAGTCCGTGCAGGGATACATCTTAGGCGGTTATAACTAAGGATTCTGAAAAAATAGATAATACTATCAGCAAATGTATCAGCCATTCAGTAAAAAATGCAGTGCATGACCAAAATCAGCTTTTGCACACATAGCTAGTTAGGAAACAAGTTATTTTACAGCCTCCACAACAAGCAAGCTTTAATATCTACTAAATGCCCTTTCTTTCCAAGACAAAAACCCCCAATGTAATGCTTCCAAAGAGTCATGTTACATGTTTAAACTTACAAGGTGAGCAGCTGAGTCATGTTGCTGAAGCTCTGATTAGAAAGAGTGCTGATTCTGTTGTTACTTAAATCTCTAAAAAATAAATTCAGAAATTCAGACCTTAAAATGACCACCCCAGTCCTGAAACACTGTAAGTTAAACTGACAGACACATTATTTTTATTAGTAGAAGTAGTATCATCATTTATCAATATTTAAAGCAGCACGTATTTTTATTTTCACATGCCATATACAAGCCCAGCAATGTTTAGCTTGATCAATGAAAAGCATTTTCATTTCAATACAGATGAAAAAGCAGTGCAATGCATTCTTATACAATAGCAATGTCCATCATGCTACTGAGTTAATAATGCAATCTTACATGAACCCATGTAAAAAAATGAAAGTGATGTTTTAAAGTGGAACTCATTCTAGTCATGTCCCTAATGACACATGAGTAAATATCATCTAATACTCTATTTAACACTTACATGCTGAAGACATCAAAGCCCAGAGCTATTATTATACAGAACACTATTTAAGATTTATAGAGGAAGCCTTAACATCTTTCTTGTTCACTATTCTAATGAATAAAACCTTAAGCCTAAGTATGATGGAAGCTGGAGTGGTATGCCATAGCTTCAAAGATGGTAGCTTCAAAGAAGCTTTGAAGAAGATGTATTAAATGTGAATAGTGCCTGTTCTTTATTCTCTTACTGTGCTTTTCATTTTATGTTGACTATTTCACTATTGTTTACTGTATTTTGCAGTGAAATACAGCATTTGTTTCTAAAAGGACATTGATATTTTAACTTTAGAGTACTGTTGAATAGCTATGCAATGAACACATTTCTCTGCTTCAGACTTTCATGAAAGCATGTAAGACAACTGGCTCATAATAATAAACATATTAGCAAGTATAACAAAGCAATCCATTCAAAAGAGGAAAAGTTAAAAATAAACAATTTTCCTTGTTAATCAGGAACTCAGAAGACTCATGTAATTTGTTGGCCACAGAAGGACTATGCATAGTGGTTTGGTTTTTCAAACAAAGCTGAGGAACATTTTCAAGTTCATAATAACAGTATGAATAAACATACAGAAGGGTTTAAAATAATGTGCCCCACAGGTCTGATAAATAGAGACTGTTAATACTAATTTGAATTTTATTTGCTGTTCATCTCTAATTTATTGTATTACATTTGTCTGCTAAATCTGGCTGTGACCACTGAAAATAGACCATGAGTACCTAAACTCTGTGATGGAAACCTTGTCACTATGCTTCTAATTAACCTGATCTGCACACAGTCCAATCTATATGCTTGCTTAATGTACTGAGGTTCCAAAGTTTATATTTTCTGTGTGCTTCAAGTTAGATCTTGTATAATTTCCCTAAGTTAGATCTTGTATAATTTCCCTAAGCAATCCACAAAGATTTCTTACTGGTTCTACACTGGACACATTTGAAAATACTGCGAGGGTTTTTTTTTTTTTCTGATGTTATTTGAAAAATACAAAAACTTTAGAAAGTATGTTTTTTTTAAAATTTCTGTCTGTGACTGCTCTTGCCTAGAATGAGGTAAATAATGTACCAAACCATTTTCAATTTTTGCAGCAGAGCTTTAAACTCAGTCAAAAAGAAATTTACAGGATTCTGTTACTGCCCTCCACTTTCCATCCTGATTATAATGAAACCACAAACTGCTTTCAGAATGCTACATAGTTCAACCTCAGCTGGTATAAATTTTATAGTCCTAACAAAGGCCATGGAATTACAGCCATTTACATCTTACAGTCTTCCTGTTTCTCTCACTATATATAACAGGTACAGAAATCATATTCAAATCATTCATGAAGTTGAGGTATTAAATTTTAGAGCAGCTAGTGATTGGCCTCAAACCACATCGTGAGTCAGCAGGACAAGCTCTCTGCTTGAGTTAAGAAAACCATATATTGTAGGAGAAACAGAAGGGGTTACATTCAAACATTACAACAGCTGTATGTGGAATTCCTATATGAAGCACACTATGGAGCAAAGCATACCACTGAATGCTGCTTCTGTAAATTAATTCTAATGCCTTCATGGAACTGTGTTACAATGTTGTATTACCCTAACACCTTACCCTAATTACCCCGAGTTTATAAGATCCTATGTCTATTTTCAGGTTAAACATAATTTCTGCTTATTTACTTTGTGATGTAATCACTGGAATGAAATATTCCTGTTCATAAAATGTGACTGAGTATATTATATGTAGGTAATGATAAGTAGAATAAAATATCCTCAATATAAAGATACACACTTTACAGATTTTTGCTTATAAATAAAATCAGGTATAATTGAGTAGGGTATTTTGCTTTGAGTTTTGATTTCTAGTAGGGAATGTTGCTGTAAAACTACTTACATGAGTGTTAAATGCTTGTAGTTGGAAAGCTCTTTTGGAACAAGGGTAAACTGATTTCCATCCAAATAACTAAAAGAGAAAAATAAAACAAAGACCATTATGCAGTTCGTTAAAGTAGTAACATCTTTATCCACTGATCTCAGAATCCAACAGTAAACTAATGGCAAATGAATACATACTATTTGCATTTTATAAGAAAACCTGCTTAGAAATATTCATTTTTAGATACACAAGTGAGGATCTGTAGCCTATGATCCAAATGCTACTGTATTGTAAATAATGAATATGATGAAGTAAGAGGAATAAAAACCAACTCTTACTTAATACTTTCTATTATTTCATAAAGACTGTGCAAAATGAGGTCCCCATATTTTTCCCCATATATTTCATGATACATCAGTATGACATACTACAGACTTATTCCTATGGAGTATGTTAGGGACTGAAGACAGTAATCAAATACCCTTCACTAAAAAAGTTAGATTTTTCTCCCCCCTCTTTGTAGTTTCACAGCTCCTGTATTGTATTGCTGGCTCTTCTTCCATGCTCATAATTCTCAATAACAGACTTGTTCATCCTTAAAGTTAATGGGTACAGAGCCATCAAACTCTACTGGCACCTGCATTAGAGGCAAAGGAAGGCAACAAGTCTTGCTTAAAAAGCTTCCAAGTACAAGTGGAGGGGTTCTTCATGTAACGAGGGTTTAGAGATAAGTGCCAAATTTACCTGATTCTTTGAAATGGAGTAGATAGGAAGTTTTATGCTTACACTGTGTTAATGGCATTAAATAGATGGTGGTGAATAGAGCATGGGCTCATAAAATTAATTATTAAAAAAACAAACCAAGATTTAAACTTTTTTGAAGGAACAAGTATTCTGAGGAAATTCTTTTATCGACAGATAAATTCGGTTCTGTTGCTTATGCTTCATTAGAACTGAAGTACTACAAGTATCCACTTGCCTGATAAAAATTCCTCCTTGTTCAAATGAAGCAACTATTAAGATATTTTACAAAACACATGAAGAGCACATCTTAGAAGAGCCATGCATGCTAATGAGCAAGAAGAATCAATCAGTATGCAACTGTTAACAGGAACCACCTCCCTTATCCTTTAGAAAAATATGCTAAATTGCATGCTTAGACACTAATTAAAGCATACAAAATTGTACACAAATGACTTTTCAGTCACAGTCAGGGTTCCACTTACAATTCCAAAAGTATCTCTCTTTAGCTGCTAGTTTTACATTGCATTGATAACCTTACGTTGCCAAATTTGATTTATTACACCAGGCTGTATTCAATGAAGCCATCTTCTATTTGAGGAAAAAAAACCCACCACCAAACCCAAAACCTAACCAAGTAAGTTACAGGTTTATATAGCTGTGTGCTACTTTGAGTTCTTAACAACCATTTCACTTTATTAATGACTAAAGCCTTTTGGATGCTATTGAGCAACAGACTAGTGGTGGGCATCTCAGGATCTTCTATGTAATACCAAATTGTAAAACAGCAAAACTGCTTTAGTGTAGTTGGCAGAGGGTTGGGACTAGATGATCTGTAAAGTCCATTCCAACCCTTAAATTCTACGATCCTATGAATCCAATTCTTCATTTTCTTTTCCCCTCATTCGTGAACCTGACAATGAAAATCTGGCATTGAATTTCACAAAAGGGAAAAAAATGTGCCACTTACAGTTCTGTTACATCTTTTGGGATGCCTTTAGGCAAAGCTTTTAGGCCTTTGTTGCTGCAGCGAACTACTGTGTCTAGACAAGTACATTCTGCAGGACAGCGGGACAATGGAGAGCAGCTATTGTCATCGTTTCCTGGGGAATGAAAACAAACAGATGCTAAGCTTGCTTATAAATAACACTGCAGTATTAGCAATCATAGTCCATCTGGATTTTCTGTAAGCTAACATGGTATTTCTACATTATAATATCTCAATGTAGTGAAAAAAATTTGTCATCTCTGAAAACCATCACTCCAAGAATTTACATTTCAAGTGATGCTTTACTTAGCACAATGCTGTTTTATTAGGTAAGAGTGCTACTATATGGGAAAAAAATTAAATAAAGAATAAAACCTAGGTAAGAATGCTATCATATGGGGAAAAAAAAAACATTAAAGAGAGAATAAAACTGAAATGAAAGACAATAAAATTAGCAAAGTATTAAAACCAGCCAGTTTAAAAAAAAATACAGCCTTGAAAACTGACAAACTAATAATGCATTAAACAGAAATGTGTGAGAGATGCAAGATAGCAGCCTTTTTTTTTGTACAACATTGATTAAGTCACAAGCTAAGCAAAATGTCATGTAATTTGATCAAGTGACCTGAATGCATGCTTAATTCAAGCATCAGCATATGAAAATATTCTCATCTGAACTAAAACATCTCATCATTTTTTATATTATTTCTAAATTATGATTTATAGTACTGAACACAGGCAGGAAAAACTTTCAAAAGCATATATACAACAGCCTGTTCTTGCTGATGATCCAAAAATGGGTGGCAGATTTTTCAACTGACATCAAAACTGAGCATGCAGTGCTGATGAAGTTCTTTAAAAAGCACAATACTTGGTGTCTATAGGGATCATGCAGCTATAAACATGAAAGCTGAAATTCTAAAAGGTTCAAATATGAATATTCTTACCATCATCACATGTAAAATCCTGAATTGCCACATCCTGGATAGGAATCTCTTTGAGGAAATAGGGTTTTTGGCAGCGAGGGTTCCCCGTCACAATGCGTTTCTTCCTTAGCCAGTCTCCAAGCCAAGCAAGGTGGCAGTTGCAGTTGAAGGGATTGGCCAAGAGGTTTCTGAGAACCACAGGAAAGTTTACTTCAGATGACACCATCTTTTCATCCTAAGTATTCTATTTCTGTTTTCAAAACACTAAGCTTAAACACTGTTCTTCAAACAATACTATGGACAAACCATAGGTGAAAGCTGCAATTTAGGCTGTGTGTGGTGAATCTTGATACAACTCATTTAGAAATAATTTCGAACTGTCAAAAACCTGACTTCTTGTCAAGCCACTCTGTACTGATAATGCAATAATTTCATACAGAGATGAAGGCTGATTACTTTACATTATTAGCTTTAACCTGACAACAGCTATTCCATTAATTTATCATCTCAAGATTTCCATCTTTTATTTGCTCCAGAGAATAAGTTTCCTATCTGAAGTGACAGCTAAGTTGATTACATGCCAGTTACAAAAATGAATTTACTTCTAAAAGTCTCAGTCCTTTTGGCATCTCCTTACTTCAGCACAAACATATCGACAATTCCATTATTTATAAACATGTCATCCTTAATATGCAAAATTAGTCACTGGGTGGAAGTGTCACTTTTTATGTAAAAAGGGGATTAAGTACTTTCCTGAATGATCCTACCTACAACTAGCATTTCCTCATTAAACTGACTGGCAGCCTGGCTCACTGTTTTCACTTCCCTTAAATTCCATCACATTTAAACTAAAAAAGAGATGCTTCTTTTTATAGAAAATGAGACTGAAACTTCATTATAAATCATGTATGAATTAAGAGCCTCAGCAGGCCAGGGAAATTTAAGATAGCAATTGGGTGGCACAGAGCAGAAAGACAGATGACATGGTGATTCAACCAGCTGTGACTCTGTGCTATCTATCCAAAAGGTGGTTTTCCACCCTGGTTTGTATCAGGCAGCTTCTGCAAGAAGGGTGAGCAGGATGTTTTTCCTGCCTTCTCAGACACTTCTGGAAACCAGTCAAACACTCCATCAAAGGGCACCATCAAAACATACTCTTCATATGCCCAAGATGGTCCAGAAAATAAACTTTCTCAAAAATCGCTCTGTGAACTTTTTTCCCTTAACTTTACCACATGCTGCTGGTTCAGAAAATAAACTTTACCAAAAATCGCTCTGTGAACTCTTTTTTTTCCCTTAACTTTACCACATGCTGTGAAATTACACAGCAAATCATTGAGTGAAAAGCCCCCAAAGGTCAGAGATTTAAAGCTGGTTATGGCAAAACAGGAAGATGACTTACAATGTAGAGAGTGAATGCAGAGTGTCGAAGGAACCGGGTGCCACGGTGGTGATCTGGTTGTCATACAGCGAGAGCAGGCGGACAGAGCTCAGGCCCGTGAAGCTGTCGTTTCCCACACAGCTCACCCGGTTGCTCCTCAGCATCCTGAGAAAGATGGATCAACATTTCTTAGCTTAACCCGAGCAGAGGCCAGAGCTGAAGTGGTTGCTGGAGCAAGGGCCAAGAGATATGACTCCAAAGGGGCCAGTGAAGGGACCACAAATGCAATGACCCCTGTGCTGCCTGTCACCTCACTGAAGGCATGAAATGCAGTGTGTGTGGAGGGGACTGGAAAAGAGAAAGGTGGATGGGTGGGTAGGTTTCACAGAGGCAAGGGCTGTTTCATAGAATCATGGAATAAGTAAGGTTGAAGGGACCACTGAAGGTCATCTGGTCCAACCTTCTTGCTCAAGCAGGGCCCCCTAGAGCGTGTTACTTAGGATTGTGTCCAGACACCTTTCGAGTATCTCCAGAATCTCTCTGGGTAGTCTGTTCCAGTTTCCCCTAAACATTTGTGGGTTTTTGTATCAGCTGACCTCCTCCTGAGGCTCCATCGACTTCACTTTTCTTAGGACAAGTTCCAGAAACCACTTCTATTACATTCTGAAGCATTTCATTTAAATGAAATCAGGCTACCCTGACTCCTCAGCATGACTAGATGATTTAAATAAAATTTCAGAATACTAAGCAAGAAACAACTATTCTAAAATCTCTTATATTTCTGTAAAACCTACGAGCTTTGAAGTTTGCTTTCTCCTATCTGTCCATTGAGAAATGAGTAATTTTGCTCCATGCTCTTGTCTAAGCATAGCTACTTTAAACAATTTTAGCAGCTTTAACTGCAAGGTTAGAAATTACAGACCTGATTTATTAAAAATGCCTAATGTCTACGGACAGCTGAAGCCCCAAAGACCATTTAATCTTGGCTCTGCTCTGCTGATCAGGAGGAAGGACAGGTTCTCTGAATAAGGCCAAGAAGCTGTAGATTGTATAAACATCTTTTTTTGAGTGGAAAGAACTAAACTGCCTCATGGAAAGAATGAAATGAGTTCAAGCTATAGTGCTTTTAATCCTCCCTTCACTGTTGAAATGACATTAAAATTACTTAGGAGAGAATCATTTCCCACATTTCAATATCCACCAGAACAATTTTTTCCTCTAGCAAAATTCAAAGTAACGGTTGAGCTGAATTGAATTGAATCAGACTCCATTACGTAAAATGTGTAATTCCCGTGCAAAATTCTGTTACTTTGAAGCAGATGATTATTCCCATTTCCATTTCTGAAGTTGGATATTTACCCATTCTCAACCACTTAATCATTTTAGAGGACTCATTATATCCATATTTAATAATTAATGAATTAATATAATGTACGATAACTGCTCATAAAATAGGAACAAAAACTAAGATATGCTTGAATAATCCATAGCTAATTCTCCAAAATCAATTTTTTCTTAGGACAGACAGAATATTACCTTCAAAAATACCTGGCAGTAAGGAAGAATCAAAACACTCAAATAATTATACTTACAGTGTTTTGAGACTTTCTAGTCCTTTGAACATTTTGTGCCGAACACTTTCCAAGCGGTTGCTGGTGAGCAATAGTTCATTCACACCAGAGGCTCCATCAAATGCTCCTTCTTCAATATCTGTAATCTTGTTATTGCTCAGGTTTCTAATACACATTAATAAAAACAGAGAAGAATGTGTTTTCCTTTCTAAATACCCTGAATTAACTGTTAAATCCTGCATACTGCACACATTTAAAGACACTCAGAAGCCAATAAATAAATCAAGTTATTGTGAAAAGCAACAAATGTATCATTCAACTTCAAACCAATAAAAGCAAAATTATGTGGCCTTCTGACTGAAGAAGCAAAGATTTTTAAAGCAATCCTCATTTTTAAATAATAGCAATTACCCAGTCCATGCTGCTACCACACAAGAACATATTTTTATAATTCTGAATCTTGTCAGTAACTATATTTTTTCAGGACTCCAGTCTTTGTAGTGTTTTTAGATATATTAATAACAGAGTGATACTGTATGAGTACAACACAACTAACCACTCTGATTTCTTTATGTGGAGAGACAAATATAAGAAAAAAGTATAAACAGCAACATATGTAAATGAAATGTGTGAATGCAAACAGTACATGAAATGCTAATAATTTATGAAATTAGTTAGAAAGGAGGATTTTTAAGTAAGATAGTTCATTTATCCACAGTTTGCATGCAAATCAGATCAATATGTGGGAAAATGGCCTAAAATTCTGCCAAAATATTTGGTGTTTATGATTTTAGCTGAAATATGGAAATTACATCCCGAATGGGTACTATCTGTACTATATATACAAAAGCAAACATAATCAACAACACACATTTTCTTAAATACTTTTCATGTTACTCTCCCTTTGTTTCATATAACTATTTACACATAGTACAAAAGTATATATCTACACACTGAACAGTGCTGTAATACACTAGTGATGAAGCTGAAGATTTTATTTGATAAAATTGTAATACACTAGTGACTTTTAAAAAGCTCTTTAAAAACCTCAGACAATGTAAAATGAAGCTGAAGATTTTATTTGATAAAATTAATGGGAAGAAAATCAAACACTTTGATGCAACTTCTAGAATAGCATTTTAATAATTCAAAACAAGAAAGATACTATTTATTAGAACAAAAATTCATATGCTTACCAGAATGAACTGGTGCCTTTATCTAAGACATAGAAAACAAGGAGTTGTGGCTTAATCTTTAGTGCTGACTACTCTCTCAGCTGACTACAAGCTGAAATTTAACGTACACCTTGCCTGTGATGAAGGATACAATCACAGAATCATAGAATCAGCTAGGTTTGAAAGGACCTTTAAGATCATCAAATGCAACCATTTAACCCAGCACTGCAAAGTCCACCACAAAAACATGTCCCTAAGTCTGTTAAACCCCTCCAGGGATGGTGACTCCACCACTTCCAGGGCGGCCTGTTCCATTGCTTACAGCCCTTTCGATGAAGAAATATTTTCTAATATCCCATCTAAACTTCCCCTGCTGGAACTTGACATCATTTGCTCTCATCTTGTCACTTCTTACCTGGGAGAAGAGGCTGACCCCCACTTCACTACAACCTCCTTTCAGATAGCCATAGAGAGCAATAAGGTCCCCCTGAGCCTCCTTTTCTCCAGGCTAAATAACCCCAGTTGCCTAAGCTGCCCCTCCAACAGCTTTGCTGCTCTTCTCTGGACATGCTCCAACACCTCAATGTCTTTCTTGAAGTGAGGGGCCCAGAACTGGATACAGTACTCAAGGTGTGGCCTCTTCAGTGCTGAGTACAGAGACTCCACTAGACCTGCTGGCCACACTATTTCTGATACAGGCTAGGATGCTATTGGCCTTCTTGGCCAACTGGACACACTGTCGGCTCATGTCCAGCTGCTGTCAACCAGCACACTCCCAGGCTGTTTTCTGCTGGGCAGTTTTCCAGCCACTCATCCCCAAGCCTGTAGCACTGTATGGGGATGCTGTAACCCAAGAGCAGGACATGGAACTTGGCCTCATTGAACCTCATACCATAGGCCTCGCTCCATTGGTTCAGCCTCTGAAGGTCCTTCTACAGAGACTTCCCACCCTTCAGCAGATCAAGACTCCCAGCCAGCCTGGTGTCGTCTGCAAACTTGCTGAGGGTGCACTCAATCCCCTTATCCAGATAATCAATAAAGGTATTAAACAGGACTGGCCCCAATACTGAGCCCTGAGAAACATCAGCAGGATTTAACTCCATTCACCACCACTCTCTGGGCCCAGACATGCAGCTAGCCTTTTACCCAGTAAAATGTACACCCATCCACGCCATGAACAGCCAGTTTATCCAGCAGAGTGCTGTGGAAAAGTGTCAAAGGCTTTAGAAAAGTCTAAGTAGACAACATCCACAATCATCACTGTCATTTAGTGTCACAGTGGAGCTGTTCAGTTTTCTGTAAGGTGCTGTACAAGACTGGAAGCAAGAAACTCATTATTTCTCATCCCAGCTGGCTCATCCATGTCAAGCCCTTAGTTTCCTAAAATCTTATTTGCTTCTGGTGTAACCTGGATATAACATCACACACTTCACATAGATATTTTAAGGATTAATGTTGCATAACTAATCAATCTTGCAGTGCATACACATGCTTTATTACTGATAAACCATCAAATCAATGAAACCTTTAGGCCTCAATTTTTCAATGTCATCTGTGTAGAAAGACCTTTGCACCTGTTTTGAACCTCCAGAAGAAATATGACCTGCACAAAAACAGAGAAGAATGTGTTTTCTTTTCTAAATGCTCTCCAAGATTCTGCCATAGGCAGGGATCCCTTTCACTAGAACAGGTTACTCAGAGCCACATCCATCCTGGCCTTAAACACTTCCAGGGATGGGGCATCCACAACTTCTCTGGGCAACCTGTTCCAGTATCTCACCACCCTCACAGTAAAGAATTTATTCCTAATATTTAATCTAAACCTGCTTTCTTTAGTTTAAACCCATTCCCCCTTGTCCTGTCACTACATGCTCCTGTAAAAAGACCCTCTCCAGCTTTGTTTTATGCTCCCTTTAGATACTGCAAGGCCACAATTAGGTCACCCCAAAACCTTCTCTTTTGCAGGCTGAACAAACCCAGTTCTCAGATTTCCTTGTAGGTGAGGTACTTAATTCCTCTAATCATCCTGGTGGCCCTACTCTGGACTCACTCCAACAGATCAATGTCCTTCCTGTGCTGGGACCCCAAAGCTGAACACAGTACTCCAGGTGTGGTCTCACCAGAGCAGAGGCACAGAATCACCTTCCCCGACTTGCCAATCATGCATCTTTTGACGCAGCCCAGGATACATTTGGCTTTCTGGGCTGCACATGCACATTACTAGCTCATATCAAGACTCTCATCCATTGGTACCCCCAAGACCTTCTTGGCAGGGCTGCTTTCAGTCTGTTCATCCTCCATCTTGTTTTGATACTGGGGTTTGCCCTGATCAAGGTGCAGCACCTTGCACTTGGTCTTGTTAAACCTCATGAGATTGCCAGGGACTCACTTCTTCACCTTGCCCAGGTCCCTCTGGGTGGCATTCCATCCTTCAGGTGTGTCAGCCACACCACTCAACTTGGTGTCATCTGAAAACTTGCTGAGGGTGCATCCTTTGTCTATGTCATTGATGAAGACACTAAATAGCACTGGTCCCAATACAGACCCCTGAGGGACATACTTGTCACTGATGTCCATCTGGACTCTGAGACACTACCCTCTGGATGTGACCGCGCAGCCAATTTCTCATCCATCTAACAATCCACCCATTGAATTAATTAATCTCTCTCCAATGTAGAGAGAGAAAGATGTCGTCGGGGACCATGTCAAAGGCTTTGCAGAAGTTCAGATAAATGACATCTGTAGCACTTCCCTTGTCCACTGACATTTCATATTGATCTTTGATATTTCAGGGGTATGCTGTAGCTGTGAAAAGTGCTAATCTGAGATCCTTGAAGAATGAAGAAAACTGGGTTATTAAAACTGTACAGCACCAGAACACTGTTGTGCCAGACATTCCTATCTTCTCTTTTCCTAAAGTATCTCAGCCAAATCCAAAGTGGCAAGGTGTACTCAAGTGGAGAGGTCAAAAGCAAAGTTAATTTTTTGGTTTTACATTGATGGTTTGTTTTAGTTTTTAAAAAAATCTTTTAATCTAAAAAATCAGTTATAAGTATTTAAGTAATTGTGATCATGACAGCTGCTAGCAAGTCTCTGGATAAGGCTAACTATAGTTCAAGTAATAAATACTTTGCACCCTTGAGATTTTGGTCATGAGTAATTTAGTTTGGTACTAGTAGTTTAGTTTAAAGATCTCTTTGTTTTTTACAAATGGTAGTCACTTGGTGACTACAAAGCAGTGATCATTGAACAGATCTATTTTTACTTGCATTTTTTTTCCACTTACTATTTAAGTTTGGAGTTAATCCTGAAAAGATTGAGCACAGAGTCACTAAGTCTAACTAAATGATCCACCCTCAAATATGTCTTTTACATAAGCTAAATAAAAGCTTTTCATAGATTTATTTTTAGCAACAACTGCAACTGGTAAGATTATAAACTCCTCTTAGAACATTAACTGTGAACGTGGACTTACACGGATGAACTATCGAACCATTTTTTCTCAGTCATTTTAATTTTGATATTCCCCTCACCTAACGACAGTTTAATGAAGCACAGAATCAAAGGCATGTCTTGAATGTGCTGAAAGAGGCAAAATTGTCTGGATAGGGAGTAATACAGGAAGTTACAAAAGATTACTGGAATCTTTTTTAAGCAGCTTAAACTGCGAGCTCCCTGCTGTGGCTGCATAACAGACCAGCTGGCTGGATGCTGCCACGAAGGTGCCGGAGCTATACACCATGAGAAGTTGTTGCTGGCAGTGCCTAGTCCCATAGAGAAGAGCTGCCAACTCTGACCTACCTCAGTGATTAATTTAAACCAGTTCTTGATTTTCGATTAGAATATACTGAATGTTTTGTAGATAAAAGCTAAGAAAGGTGGAGAGACACAGCAAGGAGCTGAGACACTATCTGAATAGACAAGGTCACCAAAGTTGCACTTACATTTTACGCAGCTGAGGAAGTTTCTTAAAGATTCCAGTAGCTTCCAGGACTGAAAATTCGTTGTTATTTAGTCGCCTAAAAGAAATGACATCGATTTCAGAAAAAGAGTATTCAGGTATTGGTACAGAATATTCCACACTAACTGAACTTCTAATAAATGAATAAATAAACAATAAATGAATTCCTGTGAATGAACATTCTCATTCTTGTGAATGAACTTTCTCATTAAACTTAGGCATACATAAGCCGTTTTCAAAACCTGATCACAAAATATTATGCAACTAAAACTGCAGAGAAACACAAAATGATGTTTTTAATTTCTCAGATAAAAATGTAATTAAGGATTCCATGGCAATTTACAAATAAAAATTTGAAGTACATGTAAACCACTGAAGATTAGTTTTCTGTTCTTTAAAGGATACAGGTGGAGTCTGCCAGACATCTGGAGGTACTCACAGAACACTATTTACAGGAATGAAATAATTCCTCAGTGCTTCTTTTGAATAGGGAAGGAAACACACTGCATAGGTTTTCCCAAGAATTTAAAAACACTTCTCTCACCATGGTTTATCTTCATACCACTACAACTGGCACACATATACTAGCTGGAAACTTATCTTTCCTGAACAGGTATTAAGGTCATTCCAGCATAGTACACCTTTAGCAGTTGCTAGGTTAGGGGACCATCTATGTTTCAAAAAATATCTGTCTTGACCCAGTATTCCCTATTTCCTCTCTTGAAAAGAAAATGGAAATTATGAGTCCTAGAGCCTTTATATGTTTTAATGGAGCTATCTTATTAAGGAAAGAAGTCTGTCCAGCTTTGATTTAGAGATCTTAAATAGGAAGGAAGAGATATGACTGACAAGATCATTGTGAAATTAAATTCAGCATAGTTCTAAACACGGAATGCCTTTCAGAATTGCCTTATTGCAAGACAAGATTAAAAACCCCCTAAATTAAAAGCAAGCTGCATGTCCATCCTTCCTTCCTGTTCATTCTCAGTGATAGCCAGAAGGGAAATTAAGGTTGTAAATCTGAAGGTATAGATGTACAATAGTTTCAACTTGGAACCAAACTGAGAGAAGACAGGAGTTTTTTGGATATACACAAAACATTTGTGTACCACAAGAACATGAATTTCAAAGGATGTTACCACCTCTGAAAATCAGCTGAATGACTTCATGTGATTTTTCCAAGCAATCCACAGCCATCTTGAAAAGTGAAGCCCTTGACACAGCATTCCAGCTGATTATTTACTATTGTATGTAAGGTAAAATGATTATTTTATAAAAATTACATACTACACTCCTGTATGTACATCCCAAAATGAAATCTGCAGTACTGCTCAACAGCTCTCTTTCCTCTTTCATAAGTATGACACCACCATAGCCTTTTATCTTAAACTACTTGCTGGTTATTCCTCAATCTTCTATATGTGGTGCTCATTAGTCTTACCTAGTGTCATATGTAGACTTTTAATTTGAATTTTATTTAAATGAGTCTTAGTTTACTATCAATATTAGTGACCAATTTTAAGAATTTTCCATGTGTTTTGAAGATTTTCAGGGTTTGAGAAATTTCTCCATATTCCTATATGATGGAAAAGAAGCATAGGTTGAATCACTGTATTGCATTTAGTTAAAACTGCAGCACAAATCATATCCTCTCTCTAACCTTGTGTATATGGTGACATTGCACATTAGGCATCATGACTGAGGGTATATCCACAAATAAGGGGGCATCAAGATGACATATTATGGATTTGTGGTCAGAGGAATGACCACATGGATCACCATCATTTCTACAGCTGAAGATCACTGGCTTTGGATCTGGAATTGTTAAATACTCGGGCAAGAATTTTACATTATGTTATCATGGTAAGTGATTCCACACACAAAGGAACCAACATTATTATTACAGATGACTGGAAAGTTAGCAGACCTGGTGGGATCTCCCTTCTGGATCTTAATATCATTACTTTTTGTGCCCACTGCTCTTCACTGGTAAAGACAGTAATGATAGTTGTTACCTAGCAATCACTGGACCTTGAAAATGATGTTCAAATTACTTCTATCTGGTTAATTCAAAGTACTGAAATCTCATTCTCAAAATAAAAAAAGTAAACAAAGGAGCATTTGATGATGATGTCTACATATTCTGTGTGTCTGATTTATGTGATGCTTTTTGCTGTTTTAGTAACACAGTAGATAAGATATTTGCCTGTTTTGGTACAATAACCAAACCTTTCTGGAAGGCTATTTACTGCAATGATAGTCATGCTCTCCAAAACTCTCTTGTTAGAAAATCAGCTATTGTAAAATCATTACAAAAATTCAAACATATAAGACTGCAATAGTTTTTATTTAGCATTCCTCCTGAGGACTCTGGTTGGAGTGATTTATCAAATATTTCCTGAATTTTCCTATCTATTAGAATGCTGTCTGAAAAATACTTTATTTCTGGGGTGCAATTACAGACTTGTACTTTATCTCAAATCCTTCACTGGCAGATTAGACAGATCTTTCACTGGTTTTCTGAAAGACTGTGAGCAAGCAACAATATAGAAAGTTAGAACAGCAAATGGCTTATTTATACATTTTTTCACCATTTACAGTTAAGCATCTGTCTTGAACTATATTATTACTTTCAGCTATTTTAAAAAACAACTATTTTGAAGAAATCGGGATTTTTATGTGATATTATTACTGTTGCAATCTACAAAATTGGTACTTTTTTCCTCACTTTTGATCTTCATTTCCAAGCTGACAGTCAGCCTCAAATACCACCCTGCAGAAATTAATCTAGCCTTCCTCATCACTGTTATAGAAGCAACAATGTCATTTGATTCTAACAAGTATCTTTATCTCAAATTTGGTGGGTAAAAACAAAAATAAAGGCTAACTAGCTGCTATTCTCATATATACCAGTAAATATTGTGAACTGGAAATCAGAGTGGCTGTAGAATTAGACTGGGAAGTCCCAAGAGGAGCAAGAAAGACCAGAAATAACAGAAGGAAACAGGAAAAAGAACCATAACTTTTGCATCAGTGAGGCAAATACCAAAAGACTGTATTTGGCTAGAGCAAATGGATTTTTAGTGGAAGTAAAAAAAATGCAGAAATAATTTCTCTATCCTCTCTAGAATATTTGCTAGGCTGTTGAAATTTTTATTACATCAAATGACTTGAAGAACAATCTGTACAGCCTATCAAGTAGAAGGCTGTATAATGACATTGTTACAGTTTAACATCATCTTAACTTGGATAAAGTGCTGGACAGAAAAGGGCTCTTTAATGGTGAAAAATATAAAGGAAGCAATGATAGAAACTGAAGAGGGGCAGATTCCATCTCAAAGTATATGTTCACATTTTAAAAGATTTTAACAAAAGTGAAAGATGATGATTAACTTCTGTAACAGTCTCAGGGAAATTCTGGGTTTATAATTCACTGATACCTTCAAACAAGACTGGATGTTTTCTGAAAGAAGCTCTGTAAGTAAACATAAATTATGCTTTAGTCTAAAAATGGGTTTTTGACTGAAGTTTGAGCATTGAGGATATACATCAGATGAGACTTCATTATTTAATTGTTCTTTCTGAATTTAATAGGTAGGAATCATAATTATAGAAAGAAAACACTTGACAATTTATCTCCCACATGTAAATAAATAAATATGAAAGACATCAATTAAAATGTTAAATTAAGATTATTATTTCTTCAGAGCAGAGAAAAGTAAATATGAAAATCAAGTCAGTGCACACTTGTCCCTTCAAGAACACCATTTCTGATCTCTTGGGTCAGTAATTATCATTTCTACAAGCATTACTTTATGATCTCCTCTTACACTTCAACCTCTTACCCTATCCTATCAGTTTTTATCCTTAAATTCAAGCAATTTTATCTCAAAATATAGGATAGCATAAAACATATTTATTCCTACCCAAGAATATATCCATTTTTTTCTTCTCTGATGCTTCTTTATGAACAGTAAATCAACACCATGAATGTAGCCAAAAGCTGAGCTTTACTTTTTCCACATATGCCACTTTTTCAATTGCATTTGTCATCATTCTGGGCTTAGCTAGAATTACCAGTCAGATTTGTAATAAGAACATGTCATGGTTTAACCCCAGCTAGCAGTCAAGCTCCATGCAGCTACTCATTCACTCCCCCACCAGTAGGATCAGGGGGAGAACCAGAAGGGCAAAAGCTAGAAAACTTATGGTTTGAGATAAGGACAATTTAATAGGAAAAGCAAAAGCCACTCACACAAACAAAGCAAAGCAACATGACTCAAAACATCCCCCTTTCCTTCTTCTTCCCCCCACTTTATATACTGAGCATAATGTCATATGGTGTGAAATACCCTTTTGGTCAGTTTGGGTCACCTGTCCCAGCTGTGTCTCCTCCCAACTTCCCAAGAACACTCAGCCTCCTCACCAGTGAGGCAGTACAAAAAGCAGAAAAGGCCTTGGCTCTGTGTAAGCTCTGCTCAGCAATAACAAGAATATCTTTATACCATCAACTCTGTGTTCAGCACAAATCCCAAACATAACCCCATATTAGCCACTGTGAAGAAAATTAACTATCCCAGCCAAAACCAGCACAAGAACATGACTAAGTTCAACTCCTCCTAGCTCAGAGACAGACAAAAAGCTCCATCTATGTTTTTAAAACATTTCAGTTTTAAATTCCTTTTCCTGCCCACATATTCAAAATACTTGACAATAGTCTCAATACTTCATACCTTCATTGTCACACTGTTGCTTTGATGCCAGCTGTAGACGGATTGTCTTTTAAGACATGTGCCATCCTGTTGCTCATCTAACCCCTGTGGGTCACAACTTGATCACAGTACTGGGTCACAACTTGATCACAGTACTCCTGTCTCCGCTTTACTACACCAAATCATCAAACCTCTCTTTTGTCCCTCAACATTCTACCTTGTTCTTTAAACTGAATCTCCCAGGAAAAATAGCTATTTCCTCTTGTCTTTGCTCTGCAATGACAGCCACTTTCATCTACCTTTCTGCTGATCCTTCAAGCATCTCTGCATTCCCTTTCATACTATGCTTTGCACATGGGAAAACCTTGTAAAGCTGTCTTAATTTTATCTTTCACTCCCTCCTTGAAGACCACTTCAGCTGTAATGCCTACAAATCATTCCCATATGGCATTTATTAAGCAAGTAATAATCTGTGACTTCTTTTCTGCTCATCTCTGTTCATTACATTATTATCTCATCTTCTTAACCCAACTCTGTCCTGTTTGTCTGCTTTATCTTCCTCTTGTCTCCTGCCTGACACACGTAATGTGTGCTTTGCATAAGAAGAGTCAACTCTATCTTCTTAAACATTTTTTTAAGACAGACCCCTCTGGTTAGTGGATATACTACTTTCTCTTGTAGCTGAAGTTAAAAGCAATATAAACCCCACTACCTTTCAAAAAAATCCAAGTGGGTTGTTCAGGTCCTGGAGAGCTAGAAACCTAGAATAGTTACCTTATTTATCATGGGGTTTTAAGGCTACACGGTACTGAAATGCTGCACAAATAATTTTTATGAATATTTAGTCCTTTGAAGTGCACCACAGAGGTCACATTTTTGTTGTTAAAAAAGCATAAAGCTGTGGTGTTATATTTGAAAGTTTTAGTTAGTTTTTCCATAAGCAAATAATGCTTTATTATGGGTTCAACTTACAACTCTGCAGTATACTGGGGGATGTGATCAGGAATTTTGTTGAGTTTCTGATTGGAGCAGTCCACTGTGGTCCCTTCACAGCGACATTTCTCAGGGCAAGCCAAATCTGCAAAGCAGTCTCCACTTAATTTGGATCTGTAATCTTCAGTGCCTGTGGAAGAGTCAAGCCAAAACACAGATACTAAGTCAATAAAGTATAAGATTTGCATCTTGTGAGAAGGTTGAAAAGATGTCTGCAATGCAGATAACGGGCAACTTGGGAAATGCATGATAAACTTTGTGATACTGAACAGACACAAGGGCTTCAAGAGAGGGTTAAATATAGGGACTTAAGATATGCTGGAAAAAGAAACTGTGACCAACTTCACATAACAGGATAACATTAACTTGAGCTTTTCACAGCTGTACTTTCTGCTGATTATGTTGTCAGCCAATCTAGCCTTGTTTATAGCTAATCACACAAATGCCACTGATTCTTTAAGAATTTATTTTCTTTCTCTTTATCAAGAACAAATAGATCCTGAATGCCACCTTTTCTCTGGTTACAAATTTGCATTGTTGACTGGACATCATTAACCTCTCTGATTTTTTATTTTTTAGTAGTCCCGATACTCCACATCATCTCAACACATAAGATTGAAAGCCCTGTTTTCAGCTTTAATTTAAAAAATGTGTGATCCTGACTTAAGCCTCAGCAGCTTGCCATGCTGTAGAAAGCTGCGCGACGTTCCATGGTGCTTGACAGAACCATGTTTTACTCATACCTCACAACCACATGGTTAGATCAAGCACAACAGAAAATCTCGCTACATTATCAAAACTGCATCCATTAGGCCAAGGATAAGGAGCAAGGGAAAAGAGGAAGGAGTAGGTGTAAGTTACAGAAGCAATTGAAGTTTAATACTTGCTTACATGACATGGCATTCTTATTATTGAATGTCCAGTGCCACAGTAACAGTATCACTGTCACAGATTAAATAAAAATTCCAAAAAAAAATGAACCACATTGAAAGTTTCCTCCACCATTTCCCAGAGTCAGTCAAAGAAAACATCCTAAACATATCAGGAAAAAACATCCAGTAAGGAACTGAGGGTGGGTGACAAAGAAAACAAAGAGAAGCTGAAAGGACCTGTGGGTTCTTCTCGGACAAAGGTGAAAAGACTGAGACTAGTAGAAGGTGCATCAGGGCTGGGAGGTACACTGTGATTTAGCTCAGACACTGAACTTTACTTACAGCCAAAATGGTGAACTCCTGCAAAAGTAAAGATAGCCAAGAAGGAAAGAAAGACAGAGTAATCCCAATTAAGACAAAACCATGAACTAAACTCTCATGTTCTCTACTCAACTTCAGTTTGATTAGAAGATGGTACTAAGGGGTATGCTCTTCAGCAGAGAGAAAGAATAATTCATTTTAAGTGGCATTTAAAAATGAAGATTGGGGTTTATTACAGATTTCATAAAGGATGATGATGATGATGATGCCTCCCATGAATTATTCTTCACTATTTTGAATGTAAAAGTTGCTTCCTTAACATAAATACATGCTATGCCACTTAAAACCTCAGTAAACCAAACAAACAGGAGAAACAGATTCCTTAGGGGAGAAAAAAAACCCTACCAACAGTCATCACATATTATGCTATCTAGCATTTGTAAATGTCTTAATAACACATATGATATAACTACATGGAGTACTTCTATGAGCTGGCAGATAAATGGTGTTTTGTCAAATTAATGACTTAATACTTGTGTAACCTTTAGTCTTCCAAAAGATTAGAATGAAATTCTACCAGTGTCTGCAGAGCAAGATCTCCCAACAACATATTTAAGACAAATCTAAATAAATCTATTTTTTAAGAACTGCTAAGATTATTAATTGAAGTATAACTAAAGTATAAAGAAGTGTTTTTAGCACTTTTAAATACCTCAAAACTAAGACTACAATAAGTTTCTTTTTGCTCCTGCATCCAGAGTACATCACTGTTAGCAGTTTGAAGTAAACAGCTAAAATATTCAGGGGCAAGGCCTTTAACAACTGAAATACTTTTAGGCACCATCTTCCTGATTGAAATACAAAGCACAGAAGCTGTATTTCAAGAGGAAAGTCTGTAGCACTTTTTGATGAATTTAGATCTTTTTCTTCCTTTATTTTTTTTCCCCCCCAAGGAATAGTGTTTTTGAGAGGGTAAAAAACCAAATCTAAACTGCATGTGTGGCCATATTATAAACAGGCTGTGAAGAAATTTGCTGGCATGAAAACACTTCTAACTTGGAGACAAAAGTTGTGCTGGCAAGGTTGAGTAGAAGTCACTCTGTGGCAGGAATACAGCTGTTCTACTCATTAAGGAATTGAGTGGTACTACAGGTTTGAGAAATTGAATCCCCCTCTGTTTTATGCTGCTTTAAAACACATTTTCGCGGCTGCCAGTGCTGACAAATTGCTGCCTGATTCTGTATTTCATTTTGTCTTTTCTTCATATGCAAATCAACATATGAGTGTGAGGGCATGAAGGGCTTCACATGATTGCTGTAAATTTATGTGATACATCACACGGCATTTGGAGAAGAGCTGTTAAACATAGCGTCTTAGGAGACTAAGATGACTGCAGAATGACAATATACCTGTAGTACTTGAAAGAACAAGTGCACTGGTGTCATAATCAATTATTGTAGATATTTTTCTCGATATTAAACTATGCTAGAAAACCTTGGTTTCAAATCACATACTGTAATTCATCAATAGATGCATTATTCCCTTGTTTATTTTGTCAATAATTTATAACCTATAATGAACATAATGTAAGTAGATAATTTTTTTTAATTAAGAAATCAGTGCACACACTGACAATATGAACATAATGTGAGTAGATTTTTTTTTTATTAAGAAATCAGTGCACACACTGACAAGCAAGGTAAAATAAAGAAAGATACATATTTCAAAGAGCTAGGGCCAACATCAGTAAATCTTTTATAAAAATACCATAAGACATATTGTAGCTTAAAGCAGTGTGCAAATTGCTGGTTCACCCCAACTGTAAAGTTGCATTTTCTTTAATGGAAAGCATTTCTGATTCACTGTATGCATGTGACCACAGAATGCCTCCAACGAAGAATATCACCTTTCTTTTCCAAGCATTCCACTGTGATTTCCTAAGCACAAGGAGGGTGAGCAAGCAGTAGCTGCAGCCAGCATAGAGCATGAAAGCAAGGCAAGAAAATGTCCATTTGCAAAATGCTTGGTTTTGTAAAGTTGTGCTAGCTCTTTGATGGCAGCATGGTTTCCTGTGTTTAAAAACAGCTCAGGAGCTACATTTTAAAAACAGGAGTGGCAGAAAGGCAAGGGACAAGGTAAGTAAAGGTGTAACTTGAAATATGAACTACCAGGTGCAACCTTCTAAATAATTTAAGTATAGGTATAATTTTGGCAGGTTGTGTGCAAATTTGTGAGACAAAAAAGGTAAATGGAGCTGCATGCTAAGCTCTTATATTCAGAAACAGAACTACTAGTATTCTACAAAGGAAAGCTATGTGTAGCTACAGGTATTGACTAATGTTAATAGACATGCATCAGTTTCCTAAAAGCTATAACAAACTGCTTTTGGGGGAAAAGGGAGAGAATATCTGCAGTTAGTCAATCTTACTGCAAAGCCAAACCTACCTGGAATGAAATATTGTTCTTTAGCTAAATAAAGAGAAAAAAAAATAGAAGATGCACCTGAATGTCAGCAAGCAAAGAATGAGTTTTATTAGATTAAGTATGGACTGCAGTTAACTACAGATAATTAAGTGAAAAAATGTGTATTCACAACGAGAGCTGATAAACAACAAAGTGTGAATAGTCATAAATGTATCCGGAACAGGGATAACAAACAGTTTTCATCTGGTTTTTGCACTTGAGACTGAATACATTGTAGAATGTGAAATGCACCTGGAACAGCTGGATACCATATGACAAAAGTTAGGATTTAAAGAAATGTAAGTAGGAAATGGAATAAGATTAGAAAAAGAAAACAGTAAATTTCCGTATGAGGTAAGCTCCCTGTATAAAATGAATCTGTCATGTTTCCATATTTAGCTTAGAAATTTTTAGATCTTTCACATATTCCAGAGCCTCGTGGAAATTTTACAAAATGATTTATGTTGGGGATACTTGTAGTGAATAACTTTAGCATTTCATTCTGAACTTTTATATATTGCATTTATTTTCTTAGATTTAATGCTACTCAGAAATAGTGCCAAATTTCTTAACTAAAGTAATGTTCCGTGATCCAACAGTCTATGACTTCCATGATTTTCTCCCCTTCAGTCAAAGAACTAAAAAAGATTCTGCAATGCTTAATAATTCCATAGAGAGCCAGCTGCCTTCATTAGAACTTCTGCAACCACTTTTTCTTTTTTCTTCCCAATAAAAGAAAAATAGCAGCTGAACTAAGAAAATTACCTGAGCAGCGGAATTTCTTGCTTTTGATCTGGCCGATCCTTTTGTTTGCCAGACGGCGGGGGCTGGTGCAACGGGCACCACTGGTCTCAATGGGGTTTGTGTGCAGATAATCCGCCAGCCACTTCAGATGGCAGTCACAGATAAATGGGTTCTGAGCCAAATGCCTTTCATGAAGAGAAAAACCAATAATTTCACACATTATTCCCCTTTGGTCTCCGCAGTTCCCAGTGTTTTGACTGCATTGTAGAATATGAAGTCATACGAAAGAAAACCATAAACAAGAGGATACATACAAGGTCTGAATCGCTCGTAGGGGGGAGAAGGTGCCTTTTGCAATGGTCTGAAGCTTGTTGTCATACAAAGAAAGAAGATTCAAGTTGTGGAGATCTTGAAAGGCATCAACTCGTAGGCAATTGATCTTGTTGGCATTCAATAATCTGTTTAATGGGAGAGTTATAAAATTGAAAGAATTTGCTCCATGTCACAGCTTCAGCCTTTTTCACAAATAATTCTTTGTGCATCTTTGTAACCAGAACATGAGATGTAGTAACAAATAATAATTAACAGTGACATTAGGCATTTCAGTGAATTGAAATAACTTATTTAGGCATCTGAAATTATTCCTAAATATTTGCACCTTCGAGTTGAAATCTGTAGGTTTATTCAGCTAAAATCACATTTCTCCTATGTGCTGGTTGAATGCATGTGGTATTAGTTGGTGCAAAGAAACAAGCTTAAAAATCAAGTATATGCAAGGAAAACTAGCTCCTTTTGCCAAATAAATACACAAACAAGAAAGGAACTGAACACTGTGTTCATTAGCTGGAAGAGATGTGCAGTGGCACTTTTAATTATATGTTACTAATCAGCATGCTGCCACATTAACAGAGTTGTAGTAAAAACTGGTGGCATGGAATATATCCAAATCTGTCTTGGATCCTTTTTCCTCTCCATCTTCAAAGGGAACCTTTTCTTCCCTGTACCTCCCAGACTTTTAATGTTAAAACAAACAAGCCAATCTAAATCAACTCCTTTTGAAGAGAAAACAAACAAACAAACAAAAGTCATTCAACTAGATGCATTTTTATTACCAAATATCTTTTTTTCCCATTTCCAGCCAAAAAGAGAATGAAATGGTGGATTTGAAATGCTCTGCTAAAAAGTTTCACAACACATGAAGAAATTTACTTAGACTGAAATGTACTGTCTATATAATTCATATTGAGCTACGGACATTTTTTCAATACAGCAGTTTGGAAAGGTCTCTTCCCTTTTTTCCTTTCCTTTTATAACTAAAATATCTTCAAAGGAAAACAGGCTGCATCCCCCCCCATCCCCTCCTGACTACTACACTGCTTTGCGACTAAAATAATCCAAAATACAAACCTCTAGGTGGTGCTGGAACTTGCATTTTCTCTGTATCTATTTACTGTTTTGCCATCTTCAGCGAGTTGCCAATAATAGGCATTTTGCCAACCAGTACAGTGTAAATTCTGGACATTAAATCATTCTAAACAAGCGGGAAGAAGTTTTAAATTCTTTAAGAAGGCTCTTTAACTCAATAAGTCAGATATTCTGGGACAAGTTCTTCCAAAACCACCATGGCCTATACCTCAAATTTGTTTTACACTGTGCAACTACTGCACAACCTCTTCTGCTAAATGTTGACAATATTTGATAAACACATCACCACGGCATTCTTTATTCCAGTTAATACTGGAATTAATCTAAATCTAAAGAGCGATGGTTTATAAAATTACACGTGGAAATTTCCAAAGTGTTAAATGAAATAGCAGCTGGAGTTCACAGAGTCAAAGAATTGTACAGTGACAGCAAACATTAAAAGCCATCAATGAAACTGTGGTGCAATGCTGTTCTTCCATGGGTACAACTAGAAATACGATTAAATAGCTTTTCCACTATGTGTTTGCTCTTTATAAAACACACAAACCTTCCTTCTATGGTTCCCATGCAACTTTATACATGCTATTTGCTCTTTAGAGGGCAAATCAGTATTGTATCTTATGTATTTTATCTTTAGAAATTCCACACATGAGAATAATTTCATTTTAATCATTTTAGGCTGAGTCATTTACTGAGATATGATCACATTTGTGGACAAACGGCAAGCTGACCTACAACAGTCTTGACTCCTTTGGCTTTTACTATGTTCAGATCTTACATATAGGATTTCCTGCCAGTTCTTCAGGCATAAAACTCTCATCACGTTTATGCTTTTGAATGATCCCAAAATAGAATAAATATTTCAAAAATACTCACAGCAATTGCAGAGAAAAGAGTCCTTCAAATAGGCCCTTTGGAAGTTCTGTAATTTTATTGCCATAGAGGACTCTGTACCAGGAAATAAAGCAAACAAAGTCACCATTATGAAGGGTATACGCTATGGGATTTTGACTTTCAAAATTAAGACATTTCCATCCTCCTGAAGAGAATTTCATAGCAACCATTTGATATTTGCAATATCTTTGTGGTCTTGTGAGGCAGCAGGATCACACATTTTCCCAAAAGGTGTGTAGCCCAAAGAGCTCTCTGCAGAACCAGCACCTCACTGCTCACAGCCTTACCAAGGGACCTTGGTAAGTGGATTTGCTATTTGTAAGAACAACTAACTGGGGAATACGAGACATGTTTGATTCTATTCAACTCTTTGGCATGAACATATTTATAAAATCTCCATACATTATTAGTGTCCAGTTGTGACAAAAAGCCCAAATAATTTCACTATGAGAATATAAGAAATTTGCTTCCATTTTTACAGGTCAGATACCTACAGTGAATTGAGTGAACGTAAACCCTGGAAAGCATCTGGAGCTGCTTCAGAGATCTGGTTATTGCTCAGGTCACTGAAATGAATGAAATTTGATTCAATTAATTCAAGCTATTTTCAAAACAGCAAACATTAAGATAATACGTAACTAGAATTAGGCATGGACAGGAGAGAGAAATTAAAATATTTACATGAGACACTGCCAAAAAAAATTAACATAGACCCACTAAAATTGCCAGTACACGGCAACAAAATGCATAGTTAAAAATAGACCTTTCAAATGCTTGAAAATAAATGACAAAAATATTTACTTTTCCTAATTGCTTAAGTACATTTTATGAAGAATTCTCTGCTCACTGTGGCCACAGGACTACACAGTCTGAAAGATATTCTGAAATAACAGTGGCTTATCCTCATTAATTATTTTTAATGGAATTTTCACTACAATAACATATTGCTTCTATGCAGAACCATACGAAATAATTTCAATATTTTGTAAAACCCCAGTTATTATTAATATGACAAAGATGCTATATGGTCTTAAAAATCAGGCTGCCATATCAGTTAACCTTCCAGCAAACTTTCCTAAGTGCTCACACATTGACTGCATTTCCTCTGCATGACCTTGACTTGTTTTTTATCTTTCTATATAGATATATGCATATGTTTGTATACACTTACATGAAAATAAAAGCTTAAATCTAAATTATTTGGTACTTACATTCTTCGAAGCTTTTTATATGGGGAGAAAGCTCCAGGAGGTATGACCTTGATGGAATTTTGCTCTAACCGTCTGCAAAAGAATAGCAACAATGTAAAAGTACAAACCTCAAGCCAAACAGGGATCTAAACTGGTAAGAAAGTAGATGGCATAGACTTCAACAAAGAAGGCTGCTTTTGCTTTCTTTTTCAGTATAATTTTTATAGTGAGAAAAAAGTTAATTTAATTTCAGTTTTCATTAAAAAAACCCTCAACCAGCCAAGCCTTTTATCCTATATCGAGCAATGTTGTCAAATAAAACCAATCTTGATTTTGTATCTAAAGAAAACTTATTTTCCAAGCACACAAGATTTTTCTAAAGTCTAAGGTAGGATTGTTATTAAAAATTTCAAAGTTGATTTGGTGTCAAATGACTACCTATATATTATTCACCTATAGCAATTTTCACAGTAAGTTTTCTTCAGAAATGTCTAAAGATTTCCATGAGTTAAAAACTGAGATATGCAAACCATAGGAAAGGGGAGAGGAGAGTTCCTACAGAACAAATAACATATGTTGCTACCTGCAGTAAGGCAAATAGCACATTTTTAAAGATGTACACAATTTCCTTCGATACAGTACATAAAACATTTTCTTTAAGACATACCAGGATTGCACAGCCACACTTCTAACTTCTTTAAACAAGTATTTTAATCTAAAATTGTAGTTTATGTTACTGGCCACACTTGCTTTGTCTGTATAGTGACTGTGACTGAAACTTGCCATACTGCAAAGTGTGAATTTGCTGATGGAAACAGTTTTCCAAGACGTTTTTGAACTTCCAGGGCTTTGCATATGGGAAATCTATGCTGACTCAGACCTATGGCCCACTTGCCAACAAGTCAAAACAGATTCAGCAATAAGCACATTTAAAATAGAAGCTACTTCTTCACACACATATTTCATGGTTACGGCAGTGCAAAAATTTCTGTTATGTAGACATAAGGAAAGAAACGATTATACTAAAAAGTCCAACAAGAAAACGTGGGATTATTCAAACTACATAACCTGCTTGTTAGATAAGCTTTCTATTTGCCTCTTTCATGCAGAGGTATCAACTCTTAGTATGATCTAAGTATATAAAGACAATCCAAAATATTTATTTCATAAAAGGAATAAAAATTCTGTAAATTAAAACACTATTTTTAATTACAGGGATATCGACTCAGAATCTAAGGTGAAATAGCTTTTTTAAATCTAGATGCAGGAATATTAGCCTGGATTTTTTTCCCCTTTTATCCTTGTCCTATCACCTGTGTTCTGTTTCACTGTTGTTTGGATAGAGACATACGAGTGTCTACATGTGCAGTGTAACTAATAAGCTCATATACTTTGAGGAAGCCTTTCCAAAAAACTATTTTTACAAAAATTCATTATTTTTGTGAAGTTTCTCAAGAGATGCTGTGATAGCTGAACTGAAGAAAGATTTCTTTGCTGCCTTCATTAAGTTTTGTTTGGATAGAGATATTTATATATTTTTTTTAATACACAAAATCTCTTTAGTCTGATCATGCTTTACCTTAACAGAATTTGTTCTTGAATGGCCTATAAAGAAGCCAATAGAAAAAACAACAACTCAAAAGCTCCAGAAAAATCTTCCTGACACACAGAAAATCACACCTCAGCAGAGCTGTTTTAGACAGGGTTCTTGTTTTAAAAATGCCCTTAACTAGGAAAATGTTGCTACCTTGCTACAGATTTCAGGTATATTTTAAACACTGCAGGCAATCCCATGGCACAGAACTA